AGGAATCGCCATAGTGCTTTCCACAGTGGTTGTATCATTTGACAGTCCCACCAGCAGTGTATGAGAGTCCCAATATCTCCACATCCTTGCCATCATTTGTTATTTTCTGTCTTGTTGAACTTTGCTATTAGTGCTGGGGTGAGATTGTATCTCACTGTTTTGATTTGCATCTCTCTAATGGCTAATGATCGTGAGCATTTCTTCATGTATTTGCTGGTCACCTGAATATCTTCTTTGGTGAAGTGTCTATCCTGTCTTCTGCCCATTTTTGAATTGGATTGTTAATCTTTTTGTTGTTGAGGTGTTGGAATTTACTATAAATTTTAGACATAAGTCCCTTGTCAGATATGTCGTTGCCAAATATTTTTTCTCAATCTGTAGGTTCTCTTTTGATACTTTTGGAGAAGTTTTTTGAATCACATAAAATTTTAATTTTTAGAAGGTCTCATTCATCTAGTTTATCTTCAGCTGTTTGTATATTTTGGATTATGCTCGACAGTCTATTTATGCCATAAATTAAGACCCCTTAATTTGCCCCTAGTTTTTCCTTGAGGAACTTTATAGTTTCAGGTTTCACATTAGTCTTTGATCCATCTGGAGTCAGTTTTTGTGTATGGTGAACATCCAAACTTTCTGTTAGCAGTTGAGAGCTGTTCTGGTTACCTAGTGCTGGTCTGACAAGAATATACCACAAATGGAATGGCCTTAACAAACAGGAGTTTATTCTTACAATCTGGAGGCTTTAAGTCCAAGTTCAAAGTGCCATGCTCTAGGGGTTGGTTGAAAGCCCCTCAACCTTGAGGTCCAGCTCTGCCTCCTACTCCTGGCCCAGTGGAGCTAGAGGCATTTCTTCACTCAGACAGCTGCTGGCTGCTGAGGCTGAGAAGCCCCAAGGTTGACAAGTAAAAAGGCACAGACCCGATGTTACCAAATCACACGGCAGGCCATTAACTCAAGTCCATCGTAGGTCCCAAGGTTGGCAGAGCATAGCAGGCTGCTGAGCAACAACACGGCTACACACAGGGTCCAAGCATGCCATAGGCTAGAGACCATTCTCAAAGCTTCTCCTTAAATACAGGATGCAGACCACATTCCCAAAGGCAGCTACTCAGCTGCTTGTGGTAGATCCCACCATGGAGCTGATTGCCAGTCTCCTCATGGGGATTAACTACCACCAGCTGCCCAGCCACTCAACCAGGGCCAGCCAAGTTGACACACAAACCCAACTACCACAAGAGCATTAACCATTTGCACCACCCAGGGACTCCCAAGATAGATAATAACAACCATCAATTATTTTTTTCACACTGTATTGAATTTTGGGTGAAAGTATACACAGCAAAACAGGCTCCCATTCAGCAATTTCTACATGTAATGGTCAATGGCATTGCTTGGATTCTTCAGTTTATGTCAAAATTCTCATTGTTTCAGTTGCAGTTGTTCCACTTCCATTTATTTAGTCTCACTGCCCCCCAAACTTCTCATCTATGCTTTAGAGTAACTATTCTCAGTGGACAAATTCTTTTCTTTTTGTGTTAACCAGCTATTTGGTTAAAAGGTGATTTCAGGGGATAGTTTCTCTTCAAGGTTTAAAGAGTATCTCAGGACAATAGTCTCAAGGATTTTTTCAGCCTCAATGGGTCCTGTAAGTCTGAATTCTTTGAGAATTTGTTCCACCTTTTAGCCCCCCCCCCCCTTTTTTTAATCAGGATCCATCTATTGTGACCCTGATCAGAAAGGTCAGTGGTGGTAGCCAGGTACCACCCAGCTCTGGTCTCAAGGAGGAGGAGGCAGTGGTTCATGGAGACCCTTAGTCCTATATTCCAATTTCTTCTCTGATTCTGGATTTTCTTCTTTCTCTTTTGCTATCGGCAAACAGAGATGAATAGTTGTATCTAGATAGACACTCGAACCACCATCATTTTCAAGGAGCACCTACTACAGACTAGGCACTGAATCCTGATAGTAATCCCATGAGGCTGCTACATTTGTATAGATGAGGAAACTGAAGCTCAGGTGAAGTCAATTGCCCGAAGTCACACAGTAGATGGCAAGACTAGGATCTCACTCAAAAGCCTATTCTCTTAAAATGTGGAACAAATCTCAAAATCATGAAAAAGATCAGGCTTACTGGTCTGACAGAGACTGGTGAGAGCCCCAGGACTATGGCCCCAAGTTACCCTTCGGACCTGAAATTGAATTCACTCCCAAGGCTTAAATCTTAGCCAAACAATAGACAGGCCTACTAGCTGAACACCTACACCCGGGGGATGTACTCCTTAGCACAGTCAACCATGGGAGATCAGAGGGCTGCATTTGCACAGGGAGAAAGGTAGGGAGGCAGGAAGGCATTGGCAAGAAGGACACAGGGAAAGGGTAACCCCAGGAAGGAAGTGGGAAGAGAGCTCTTACACTACGGGGAATGTAACCAGTGTCACAAAACAATAAATATGAACTGTTGAATGAAAAATGAATCTGCTTTGCAAAATTTCATCCAAAGCACAATAAAAAGTTAAAGGAAAAAAAAAAAACTATTCTCTTATCCACTTGGCCAAACTTCTGGGCAAGTCCATGATTCTAAGAGACAGCTGCCCTGAGCATATGTGGCCATCAGTGATTTTTTCTGAAGATGGAGGGAAGATAGAGCATCCCCAGAAGTCCAGACCCTTAGCCAGGGACAGTCAAGACCAGGAACATTGTGTGACATATTCAGAAGTCAGCCTCTTCTCCTTGTCAGTCCATAAATTTTTGATGTAACTTCACAGGCTTATTGCTAGTATGTCCTGGTCCGTTTTGTGCATCTGGGTTTAGTTATCTGCACTGCTAGCATCCAGCATAGTAATCTGGGCACTGGGTTGTATCATTTCAGCCGGAACAAAGTGAGCTTCCCTAGCAGCAAGGGAAAGAGCAGTCCACCATGGGTGACCCTAGTGGTATTTAAAATACTGGTGGCAAAACTTCCAGAATCAGAGCAACGTGCAAGCCACTACAGTATGACAAACTGACAGATGGTTGGTAGAGCTTCCCCTAATTGCCTAATAAACCCATTAAAGCCTAATCTGCATGTGTTGGGGGCGGGGATTTGTTTTGTTTTTAACTTTAAGTCAGTTCTGTGTGTGCACATGTGTGTGTTTATTTCACCCTAAGGTGAGAATGTTTGAGGAGTGAGTTTGAGGAGTTCAAAGTAGGCCAACAAGGCTAGGTGGGAGTGAACCTGGGCCAAGAGAGCAATAGGTGACACAGGTAAAGGAAACAAAGCTGGGGAGAAGATGCAGCTATTAGGGCCTGGTAGGCCATCATAATGACTGGTTTTATATTGTCCTATAACTATAAATGCTATAGGGGTCAGTATCTGCATTACAGAAAACTTAGGACCAAAAATACTTAGTGACTTTCCTGGACAATTCATGGTAAATCTTGGAACCAGAAAAAGGCTCTGGGTTTCACTCTCTTTACACTATGCCTTGCAGCTTCCCACCTGCTGGGATTACTGGAGCTCTTTTCCACATTTGATGCCCTATTTTACAGAAGAAGGCACTGAGACTCAGCTTGATTTGTTCAAGGTCACAATTAGGACTCTGATCAGTCTGATTTCAGAGATCACGATCTTTCCACTAAAGTGTCCTCTCTTCTTCAGGTAGAAGTAAAGCAAGGTTACTTCAGCCAGCCAGTCACAGCATAAATATTGACCTAGAATAATGCATATGAAGTGCTTATCTCAGCATGTAGCATATGGCAGATGCTTGATACCAGCTGTTATTGTCATTATTTCTGCTCTGAACCATCTGAGGAATGTCCATCTAGGAGTTAGTGCCCATTTTGGCCAATCTCCACTAGATCCAGGCCAATCTCCCTGGCCCCTCTACCCAGGGTAACCCATGCCTGTGGGCTGTATACATTCATTTTGGTCACCATAAAAACCATCCCTTGTGTAGAAATACACTTTCCCTACCAAAAACAGATTGCCGTCAAGTTGACTTCAACTCATGGCAACTCTGTGTGTGCCAGAGTAGAACTGTGCTCCACAGCGTTTTTGATGGCTGATTTTTCAGAAGATCATCAGGCTTTTCTTCCGCGGCACCTCTGGATGGACTCAAACAGCCAACTTTTCAGTTAGCAGCCAAATGCATTAATCGTTTGCACCACCTAGGGACTCCTCCTGTCCTTAGCCCTGCATATATATCCATGGGGATGGATTAGGGTCAAGGAAGACATATCTAGGCTGGGAGCAGTAAGAAAGAAATGATGGAAAGAGACAAACAGTGAAGACAGAGAGACAGAGAGGAGGTCAAAAATGGAGTCATGTCCAGGAATCAGTAGTCAGAAGCCCTTAGTACCATTTTTGTGATCATTATGGTATAGAAAATAAAGGATATTGGATGGAAAAGTTAGACTCACTTTAGAACTCTTTTCTTCACTAACTTGCTTTGGGAACCTGGGTAAATTCTCATTCCTCACTAGTCCTCATTTTCCCCATTTACATATGTTCTTGAAAGTCCTTTTTTATTTCTAATAGTCTCCCTTTGATTCCTTGACTTAACCCTCCCTGAATCAGAAGACACTTCTACTCATCAGTAAATCACACAGTTTATTCAGAAAAATCAAGTCAGTACAATGTGCACTACAAGATATCGCTTAGCTCATATCACTGACATGGGATAAACAACTTCACAATAAATTAGGGGAAGCAGACCCTTTCCTTCCAGGAGGGGTAACAGGATGTTTCAACAGGCATATTTCATGATAAACACAACAGCAAAATATTTGAGCAATCAGATAACCTGAGACAGCCAGGGAGGTTTTCAGCTGCAGGGTGAGATCTGCTCAAACCCAGAATTTTCTCTACAATGTCCCAGCCATGGTGTCAGAATATCAAATGGAGATGTTTCTCCAAATAGACTCTTATGTGCATAAAAATGGTGGACTTCCCCTGTCTCCCTCCTCTTCCAGTTGGTTTGTCTTCCACAGGAAATCTCACAAGGGCTGCTCTTCTCTTGGTGTCAAGCTGTGGAAGTTTCTTGATGGTAGTTCTTGTCAATCCAGGCTATAAAGACATCCAGCTCTCCCAGGGACTTGATGACAGCAGATTGGACCTCCAACTGAAAACAGTGAAATCATCATAAGAATCTGCCTTTATAGAGATTCATAGACTGGTAATAGTTTCCAAATCAGCCTTCCTGTGCTCTGCTCTCCACAAGGCTTTCTTTTTATTCATCAAATATATTTGCAGAGCATGTACACTCAAAACCATTTTCCTAACAGACAACGAAAATTTTTCTCCACAAACAAGTATTTAAAGCATGTCAACTCCTTATAATAAAATGAAAAGTCTTCAATCTTTTCCTTCTTTCTTCACCCTTTTGTTTTCCACACTATGCTTGTCCAACTGGTCAGTTCCTCCTCTGATTTTCTTTTTCACCAATTTGCTTTATTACTTCTGCTTACCCCAAACCAAACCAAACCCACTGCCATCAAGTCTATTCCAACTCATAGCAACCCCCATAAGGTTTCCAAGGCTGTGCATCTTTACAGAAGCAGACTGCCTCATCTTTCTCCTATAGAGCAATAGTGAGCTTGAACCACTGACCTTTTGGTTAGCAGCACAATGCCTTACCATAGCACCACCAGAGCTGCTACACAATAGGAAGAGAGTATGTTCTCCCCATTTGACACTAAAGCACTGAAACCCCAAAGGGGTTTAAAGCATTGAAACCCCACTCAACATCACCCAGATGGTTAGTAGTAGAGCTGCAATTAGAATCCAAAATCCAGGTTTCCTTCTGTAGTGAATGGTTAAGGCTGCTAACCAAAGGTCAGTGGTTTGAATTCACCAGCCGCTCTGAGGAAGAAAGACTTCTGTAAAGATTTACAGCATTGGAAACCTGTTGGGAGTCACTATGAAGCAGAATCGACTCAATGGCAGTGAGTTTGATTTTTGTTTTGTTTTGTTTTGTTTTCCATAGCAGACTAGGGGGTGGTAAAATTCAAAACCTACACAGTGTGGGGTCAAATACTACTTCCATCATTTAGTGTCTGTGAGAACTTAGTCAAGAGGTTTAATATATTTGTGTTTTGGTTAGGAGTTCCTGCTGGTGCAAATGGTTAGTGTGCTCAGCTGCTAACCCAAAGGTTGGAGATTCAAGTCTGACCAGAGATACTTTAGAATACAGACCTCCTGATCCGCTTCCTGAAAATCAGCCATGGAAAACACTTTGGAGCACACTTCTACTGTGACACACATAGAGTCTCCATGAATTGGAATTGACTTAATGGCAATTGTTGTTGTTGTTATTTGGTTTGGGTTTGGGTTTTCTGGTGTCTTGGTTTCCTACTTTATAAAATGCAAATAATTACATCTGCCTTGTGTCGTTATTGTGAGGAATAAATGTGTGTGCTTAGAGCAATACCTGGATCGGAATAAAAATATGACTCTTAAAAAAAACAAAAACAAAACTCACTGCCATCGAGTCAATTCTGACTCATAGCGACTCCCACTGGGTTTCCAAGGGAGTAAATCTTTACAGAAGTAAATTGCTCAGTCTTCTTTCCACAGGGTGGCTGGTGGGTTTGAACCATTAACCTCTGGTTAGCAGTCAAATGCCTTAGGCACTACACCACCAGAGCTTCTTAATATGACTCTTAGCTATTATTAATATTATCCTACAGAGCCTCTCCATGAAGAAGCAGAGCTCTGAAGAGACTCCCTACCTCCTTGCTATCCAAAGCATTGGCATCATTTGAGAGTGTGGTCAAAGTGCAGAATCTCAGGCCTCGCCTGATAGCTACTGAATCAGAATCTGCATTTTTACAAGATCTTTAAGTGATTCATATGCACATTAAAGTCTCACAAGCACTGTGATTCCATGTCATCACATAGAATGCTGATGACAGCTGTAGGACAGTGACACCTCACAGGAGACATGTTCCTCATGTGTTGTTGTTGCTTGCTTTGTTGAGTTGATTCTGACTCAGTCACAGTGACCCCACGTGTGCAGAGTAGAACCACTCCACAGGGTTTTCAAAACTGTGACTTTTCAGAAGCAGATCACATGGCCTGGTTTCTGAGATGCCTCTGGTGGGTTCAAACTGCCAATCTTTCTGCTAATGGTCAATGTTTAGCTATTTGTGCCATCCAGAGACTCCTATTCAACACATGTTGCTATTGTTGTGTGACATCCAATCAATTCCAACTCATAGCATCAATATAGGACACAGCAGACCTGCCCCATAGGGTTTCCAGAAGCAGACTGTCACATCTTTCTCCTGTGGAGCAGCTGGTGGCTTTGAACCACCAATCTTTTGGTTAGTAACCAAGTACTTAACTGTTGTGCCACCGAGGGACTCCTGTTCCACACAAACCAGCCTACATTTCATTGGGCCCCTTTGCTCCCTCTGTATCACCCCATCTTACACAGTATGTGCTTCCCCTTAAAGCTTAACACAGGTTAGGCCTGATATGTCAGTGTATGAGGAAATGGTAGAAGGTGGTGAGGAAGGGGAGTCCAGGGAATGAGCAAATGAAGTAAGAGCCACACACTGTGCAGACAGATAGAATTGGGAAGGGTTGTGATAATTACTTGTTGAGTGAATGAATGAATCTAAGTGGAGAGGAGGCTGAGGGATTGGCACTCTCTCCACCAGGCTCCCCCTTCCTGGCCCCATACCTCCTCATAGTTGTTGTTGATGTTTCTGGTTGCATCGGTGGCTTCCTCACTGCAGGGACACAGATTATGCTCCTTCTGTGATGGATGGAGGAGAGCATGGTCAGAGGACCTTCCCACCTTGACCCACCCCACCTTGACCCACCCCACCTTGACCCACCCTGTCCACCACCTCTCTCCTAATACTCTGAAGGTAAGCTCAGGTAGGAGCAGCCAAGGGAAAGTAGGTCTGTTTGTAAAGCAGCCTTACATTTGTCTCGGGTTTTTACTTTTTCCAAGTTTACAGTCCACAGGACTATAGATGCCAGGAGAGCAGGCTCCTATCTCTCTTTTCACCACTCTGTGAACCCAGCACCCAACACGAGAGCCACTCAACAAATAATTCCTGAATCAATTGGTTAAATAACTGGTTAAATGAATCCATTTGGTTGGCATCATTACCCTTTATAACAGCTTTAGAATATGAGGCCCAGAGAGGTGAAGTAGCATGTCACACAGGGTATCATTGGCAAGGATGGGGATAAAACCCAGGTTTTCTTGAGCTAAAGTTTTGTTGATGCTTTATTATTATTATTATTATTATTATTATTATTATTATTATTAGATCACAATGAATTTATATGCAATTCTTAGGAATAGGCTATACCAAGGAATTACCAAGAGGTTGAAGTCCTTGGGTGGTACAAATGGTTCACACACTTGGCTGCTAGCAGAAAGTTGGTGGTTCAAGCCCACCCAATGATACTTTGAAAGAAAGGCCTGGTGATCCAGTTCTGAAAATCACCCATTGAAAATCCTGGGGAGCCATGAGTTGGATTCTATTCAACAGCAGCTAGAATGGAGACTGGTTTACAGAGAGGTTAACTGATATGGAAACTCACAAGGGCCAAAAAACAGCCAAAGAAACCTGGAGTGTACTTATGATAAACCTGGGATTCTTGGCATGCCTCTCTCCCATCTCAGCCCAGGCAGGAATACTCTGACATAAGCTGGTCACCCTGGGAGGATTATCCACAAGGAAATTCAAGTCTGGTGAGGTATCTGCAGGCAGAAAGTGACCACTAGAAGAGGTTCATGAGAGTTCTCCCAATGAACAACCAAAAAATCCAAACCAAACTCACTGCTATCGAGTGGATTCCAACTCATAATGACCCCCTTTGGGTTTCTGAGGTGGTAAATCTTTATGGCAGTGGATTGCCCAGGCTTTCTTCTGTGGAGTGGCTGGTGGATTTGAACCACCAACCTTCTCATTAACTGTCAAGTGCCTTAGGCACTACAGCACCAAATTTCCTCTGATTCTAGGATCCATTTTAGAAAGCTGACTGTGGCCAGCATGTCCTGGGCCCTCCCAGGTCAGAGGAGGAACAGATGCTTAGAATATTGGGTGACTCACACAGGGCTGCACAGTCCTCTGCAGGGCGAGGAAAGAATTGGAAATGCTGCTGACTGCTCTTGAGATTTGAAGGCTCAACTTCTCACGGTACTTGAACACTCTCTCCACGTAGAATTCTAGGAGCTCCCTGGTCACACAGCACATGTCTAAGGGCTACAGACACAAATTAGACAAGTCCCCAAAGGCCCCTTTCTCTGATTATCTTAAAGACCAAAGCAACTTACTGGGGCAGAGGCAGCAAAGAACAAGAAAAGTCATTTTCTAAAAAATCATAATGGTCTCAGAGTGTTCATTCTCTTTTACCACATCAAAGCTACTTATGATGAGAGTCTTCTTTTTTTATGACCAGGAGCTATATTAACAAGAGATACAAGCCCCAGAATCCACTCATAGGATAGAATTCTCTCTCCAGCATTCCCAACTCTACAGCATCCTGCTTAAACCCTTTCAAGAATCAGGCACCTCTCTTTGAGAGGACCAATGGCTAAGGAACTTTCTTGAAAAGTACTTCTTCATGTCACACCAAAGTGTCCCTGTCTGTACCATCTCCCATTCATCAGCATGTATTTATTCTACAGCTTTTTTGTAGTGTGCAAGGCATTGTGCTAGACATGTCTTCCTTCAGTTGTTACAATGCTATGTTCAGCCGGCTCAGCATCCCAGTTCTCTGCTGCGGGTCACCCTGCTTGGTCTCCTCTTGTTTGTCCTTTTAAAATGCAGCCTCTTTTGGATGGTGCTGAGATTTGCAAGAATGGAGACTGACAGCTGGGTAAATCACATCAGCTAGGTTCTCACCTGCAGTGTGTAGCTCTCTCTAAGACAGGACCCCTAAGCAGGGCTCTCAGAGGAGCTGGCCAGACTGAGTTTCCTTCTAACAGCTTGCACCCTGTCCTGCGTGCTAGTGAGTTATTAGATGCATGATTTATGGCTTCTAAGAATGTCAGACTAGAGGGAATCTACAGTGCACAGCTCATCTATCTTCATTGACATTAAAGGAGCAAAGCCCGACTTGTCCTACAGTCTGATTTTCCTAAATGGCAAACTCTATTTGCAACACAAAAAACCCTCTCTGGCTCCACTCCTGCTGGCTCTTTTAACCAAAAGAGAGAAAAGTTACATACCTGCATGTTCGTTTCACTAGAAAACGGAACATAGGAAAACAGGAAGGAAGGATGGAGGGAAGGAAAGGAGAAAGGGAGGCAAATGACATGATAAAGACCTATCCCTTTCCTTACTCCACATTAGCTGTTTCTAGAACTTGAGAGGGAAAGAGCCTTAAGATGGGGCAAGAGACTTAAGGGGGTCTATTAGGGCCCACCCACTAACTAGTCATTTTCCCTCCTGGAGTCTCAGCTTCCTCATTTGAAAATGATGGTTTGGGAATAAATGATCGTCTTGTCCCTTCCTATGAGTATATAATATAGTTGGCTGGAACATTATCTAGTGAGTGGCTACATCTGCTTGCCACAAATAAATCAGCCAAATACTGCCCTAGAAGAATTATGGAGGTATCTCTCTCACACATGCAGAGAAGCCCAAGGAGAAAGTAGCTCATTGCAGATATACCTTGCCCTCAGCCACATAAGTACCTGAAAACACTGGAAGCTTCTAGACAAGTACACAAGTACTGCAGGAGTTCACTTTCAAAAGCACCACTCAGTGGCCCTTATTGTAGAGTGAATTATCACCTTGTAAATGATAGGACAGGAGCTCTGGTAGCATAGTGCCTAAGGCACTTGACTGCTAACCAGAAGGCTGGCGGTTCAAACCCACCAGCCACTCCTCAGAAGGAAGGTTGGGCAATCCTACTTCCGTAGTGATACTGCCTCGGAAACCCAAGGAGGGGTCGCTATGAGTCGGGGCCGACTCGATGGCAAATAACAACAACAACAACAACAAATGATAGGACACTAAGGATAGGATACTAGTTTTGTAACATACTCTCATCACTTTTTGTTAGGACTATTGGACTGACCTCCTCACTGGCTTTCTTGCCTCAGGTTGTCCAATAACATTACTACCAGACTGTCTTTCTAAAACATTTTGTAGTCATATAACATCCTCATTCCAAAACCTTTAATGACTCCCCACTGCCTCTATTACAAGACTGAGGCTCAGCTTGGTCTTCAAGGTCCTTATAAAATGATCCCAGTGTATCTTTCCACTTCATCTTCACCAGTCACCTGCATGTTCCTCACACTGCAAACTTGGTCCATTCACTGTCTCCTGGCACATATTTCTATCTTCACTAATCTCTTAATCCTCTTGTGCTCCCAGAACTCCTTCCTCTCTTTTTTCCACAAACCCACAAACTAGTCAGCTTTAAAGTTGCTTGTTCCTTTTCTTACCTGCCCTATGAAACCTTCCAGTATTACCCCAAGCCATGGAAACCCTGTCCCCTTTGAGCCCCCAGGTATCCCAAATACTCTGTTGGTAAATGGCACTTTTTTAATATCACCCAGAGTCTCAAAGTCCCTGGGACACTAGTGTGCCCTAAATAATCAGTTGACAGATGAGAAGGCTGGCACCTTTAGAAGTCACTGAAGATGATGAAAGAGAAGGTGAGAGAATGGGGCTTCTCAACCCAGGGCTACTTCACCATAAAGATAAAAATACAGCAAAGAACAGACAATACCTTAATGCTGTGCAGGTTGGACAGGATAGTGACATTTTTTAAGGTGTCCTTTGTTTGCTGTGGAGAGGAACATAGGAACAAACACAAGTGATGAATACTTAGTGTTCTCCTGAGACACAAAAGCTAATGAGAAGGAATTTGCTTTTCAAGCTAAGATACAAGGAGACGCACATCCCCTTGCCCACAGCTTAACCTCAAACCTGTACTCACAATGGCTCCTTTGATTCCTTGAAAACTCTCTTTTACAGGGTTGGTGTCCATGGAAGGTGAACATCTCTTGATACTTCGGGCCTGCACTGAGCACAGGAAGAACGTCATGCCCAGGAGGCAGAGGGAAACACCTTGTATCTTCATATCCTGCGGGAAGAAAGGAAGTCAGCTAGCTGCCTAGCCAAGAGAGAGAGCAATGAAATAGAAGACCCTGCTTGGTTTCCCCTTTGGACCAACCTGCAGCCAGGAAAACAGGCTCAACACCTCAGCCTGGTGGCCTTTCAGGGGCATCTGTCTCATTTCTGGCTTTCCTGCATCAATTGTATTTGAGCCTTTCCACCTACCCACACTCCCCATGACCCCACCTCCACCCCAAGAAAGCATGATACAGTGCTCTCCCCAGTCCCAGGGAACATATTTGTGTGCATATCACTCTACTATGACTCAACGGCTCACATTGTCAATGCGGGTGGGAGTGGGTGTGAAAAGCATTGTTTTTAATTAGTTAAATGGGAAAAACAGGGTTGGTAATACGCCCTAGGAATTAGGCAACAGATCTGAAAAACCATAAAAGCACACTTGTTTTTTCATGTTTGCCCCTGAAATAAGTGACTTCGTTTTATCATACACCCCCAATGTGTATCTGTTTCAAATCATTCGTTTGAAATCAACTATACAGATCAAACCTTCTGGAGAAGATGGGAAAGGGAGGCACAAGACATCTCCTAATAACTAATTAGCCCCAGTGAGGAGTAACGAAGGCTGCCAAGTTGGTGGCTTCTCATCTGTCATTCGGTGAGTCGGAGGGTATGAGATGCAGTTTGCAGCTAGTCTCTAGGTGGGGCTAGCCCCTAAGATGCTTGCTGCCTCTTCTAGCTCTCTCACCATTCCTGCGGCTTCTGTCCTTTCTCTCTCTCCCCCAGCCCCTTCTTCTCATTTAACCATTTTAAATCATGTCATATAATACATATACAGAAAAACTCACCAAGGATAATTGTGCCGTTCACAGAGTTATCTTTCTCTGACTTTTTCCAGTTTTAGTTGAAGTTTCAGCTCACGGAGCTGAGCCTTACAAGGTAAATCTTACACCAACATGTGTGAATTGACTGTCACTCTTCCCAGAGCCCTCCAATCACCAAGCTCTTGTTTGCAATGGGGTGCGTAGTGAGGTATGTGCAGTTTAGGGGGCAGTGGCAGGGAGGGCTGTGGTAGCATGGTGCCTAAGGCACTTGACTGCTAACCAGAAGGCTGGCAGTTCAAACCCACCAGCCACTTCTTGGAAACCCAAGGATGGGTCGCTATGAATTGGGGTCTACTCGATGGCACATAACAACAACAACAACGGCAGGGAGGGAGATAACCAAATATAGAAAGCCAGTTGAGGGTGCTTCAGAGCATAACAATAAAGAACATAAAGGGGAGAATGTGAACCACAGTTGACCCTGACCCCTCCCCCCCCCAATTCCCCAAATACACGCTTGCCTTGTGTGTCATTTAATGTTCATAAACAGGTCCTGTTTCCATTCCCATTTTACTAATGAGGGAACTAACACTTTTTTCAAAAAAAACCAACACAGTGACATCAAGTAGATTTTGACTCATAGCAATGCTATAGGACAGAATAGAACTGCTATAAAGGGTTTCTAAGGCTATAAAACTTTTACAGAAGCAGAATGCCCAGAGTGCCACCAGAGCTCCTAATTAACACTTAGAGAAGTTAAAGAAGTTAACTGTCTGAGGTATGTGGCAAGCAAGTGACAGAGGCTAACCCTGAGTCCATGCTCCTTACCACTCCTCCACACCACCTGCAAGACTGCTCCCGGATTGGATGGTGTTTCTCTCTGGCATCTTACCTGGAGATCCCAGCTGTTTCCCTGACACCAACTAGAGAGGAAACCATTTCTTTTTAGGGTGCATGTTAAGAAAGATTTAATACTCCAAAAAGATTAAGAGACTTAGAAAAGGTAACACATTTTAAAGCACAGTTTCTGGAACAAAAAAAAAGTTATGTTAACTAATATAAGCAAAAGTAACCAATCTGAGGAATATTAGCTTCTTTCCCCCTTCCTTCCTTTCTTCTTCCGTCTCTCCTTTCCTTTCTTTTCTTTCTCACTCTCCATCTCTTCTCATTGAAAATAAGGTACTAGAAAGTTCATCCCTATGTGAAGTGCCCCTTGTCATCCTACAAAATGCCCAGCTCCTGGGACATCATAGACCATACACAAGCAAGCTTGTCACCTACCTGCAGCTGGGAAGGCTGGAAACAGGAGGGTAACGGAGGATACAAGAACTCACCTCTCACTGGGTGCCGGCCAGGCTTCTTGTTACGTCTCCTGAATCTCTTGTCTCCAGTCTCTGTGCCATGTGGAGAGGGCTGGTCACTTTTATGAAGGTGGCTAAGAGGAAATGCTGTTAAGTTTTGTTGGGTGGGTCTGCCTTTGGAAGACCGTTTTTCCCCTCATTTTCTTAGCAACTCATTTCCTTTAAAGTTTTCTTTTCTGTCTTCTTTGAGGTACTACTGATTAATCATACTGAGAAATATCTCTTTCTTCTGGGTCCTGACATGCAGCTTCTAGGAAAATTGAGCTCCCCATCTCCATGCAAATGAGAATTGCTTGCAATGCTGTGTCCATACAGAAAAAAAAAAAAAAAAAAATCCAAGTTAGGTCACTTTCCTGAGAGCTAGGGCATGCCACCAACTGTAGCTTGTAGGCAAACTCAACAAAGCACTCTCTTGCCAGTCTCTCCCTCCCAGCAGCCAGTTCCAGTCATCTCCCTGATACTTCATATGGCCTGGAGTGCCCACCAGGTGCCAGGTACTAGCTAAATGCTTTAATGCACTATTTTGTTTAATTCACAGTAACATTTATTTTTCCTCAGGAATACAAGGATCTTTTTAGACATCACCTCTTTCCTTGTCAGTGTCCCCCTGCCCCCCAGAGGGCCATTTCATTCTCTAGAACTAATGCAGGGAGAGAATATGAGAATGAGAAATAAAGAAGTTCAAGAGCAGCCAGTAGCAGAGCAAGGAACACAGGCTGGAATCCTTGTTCTTGTGGCAGAAGACCCTGTATCTAAATTACTCCTTTACACAAGTTCTATACCATTAGTTATCCAAAGCATCGGGACTCTAGGTGATGGAAGGATTGTCCTCCCCAAACATGAGCACCCAGAAGAAACAGCTTATTTTACCAAATGAAACAACTTTGTGATGGGGACAATGACAAAAAAGACTACATTGGCCCCATGGACGCAGTGCTGGTACAAAGAATATTGCAAAGTTTGGGCCTGTAGCCAGACAGGAGAGATAGAGAGGTGGGCAGGGAAATGGCAGAAAAGAAAGAGAAAGTGGAAAACTTGGGACTTTCTTGCTGGACTAAGTCCCAGGAAAGGAACTTCAGGGGTTGGAAACATTGCTGTCTAGTATCGTAGACATAATAAAATAACATGTGTTGAGGGAGGTAATAGATTGTAGTGATTCACAATCTAGCTCCGGACTGAAACCTTGGTTCTACTACTTCTCTGTGGGATATTGGGCATGTTGTTAAAGACATTTCTGAAGCTAGTAAAATAGATAAAATAAATGGTGAGCTTTTAGAAGAACTAGATGGTACACAGCTACCACTGTCAGCCACTCAAAGGGGGATCAGTGCAGGAGATCCTGGATAGAGTGGGAGAACAATGTGGAATAAAACTCAAAATCATGAAGAAAAAAATTGAAAAACACTGGAGTTGTTGGTCTAATAGAGCCTGGTTAGACTCCTGAGACTATGACCCCTAGCTCCCCTTCAGGTCTGGAAGTGAACTCACTCCTGCAGCTTCCAGCCAAATAGACAGGCATATGAGATGAACATTTACATCAGGTAGATATACCCCCTGGAGCAATCAATCGTGGGAGAACATAAGGGCAGTGTTGCACAGGGAGATAGCTCAGGGGGCAAGAATGCATAGGAAAGAAGGATACAGGGAAGATGTAACCATAGGGAGGAAGTGAGAAGAGAGCTGTTTCATTGTGGGGAATTGCAGTCAATGTCATGAAACAAAATGTGTATGAACTGCTGTATGGAAAATGAATTTGCTCTGTAAACTTTCACCAGCTGGCCACTTGTTCAAGCCCAGGAATTGGAGATAAAGACTTGGCCAAATGCAGGATACAGATGTGCAAAAAAGCAGTGGAAATTATATATATATACACCCCAAAGGTAACTGTCTTTCAACTACTTGGCTGATTACAATCTCATCACAGGGAATAACTACATTCAGCTGCCAAGCCACTCAGAACCATGATCCTGCTAAGATGACACACAACCTTAACTACCACAACATTGTTAAATAGGGAAGCAGATAGAATGTGAAAGAAGACCAGAGAGTTAGAATAAGGAAGCCTCTCAGTGTGACATATATAAGACACAGTTCTCTCATGCCTTCCAGTCTCCTACCTCTACCCACTATCTACTCCAACTTCAAGAATTGCTCATACATTTTGATCAAAGATCCTGTATAAATAAAAATTCTAATCAAAAGGGGGGAAGATGCAATATAGAATCTCAAATTCTTATGGACTACAGACTTTCTGGAGCCATGAAGGTTGTATGAACCCCTATTATTGCCCTGAGATAATATTTAAAACTTAAACAAAAATATCACCTAATTTTTTTTCTTAAAATCTACAGTTTAGCTAAACTCGTAATTAAAAAAAAAAAAAAAACTAGCAATATGCACTTTTAAGAACTATATGGGATCAAATTGACAAGAGCAACTCAAAAGATTAAATAGGAACCTTAGAGAGCAGTGAGTTTAATGTTAAAGGTGGAGGAACAAGTCAGAAAATGAAGGTGAGAATGGTTGCACAACTTGAGAATGTAATCAATGTCACTGAATTGTACATGTGGAAACTGTTGGATTGGTGTACGTTTTGCTGTATATGCTGTTAACAGCATTAAATAAATAAATGGATAAAAAGAATTGTTTATATTGGTGCCAGGGTAATTTATTCTCTGTAAAAGAGTGGACCTTGTCCACTCCTAAGTGCTAAGTCCTGAACGTCAGTCAAAAAAGTGAGCTATGGCATTGCATTATCTCTAGAGGGCACCTTTCCCGTTGTACTA